ATGTACACAAATCCAGGTGGTATACCCTACTATCCACCGAGGCTAAATGGTATAGCCTATTGCTCCTAGGCTACAAACCTGTACAAAACAACTTGAGAAAATGATGCCGTGAGTAGACCAGGTGAACACGAGATGTATGAGGCTGCTTCTGGCATAACACGACATGCTGTTTTACAGCAAACTTTTTTTTTTTAATTAAAGTTTATTGGGGTGACAATGATTAGTAAAGTTACATAGGTCTCAAGTGTACAATTCTGTAATACATCATCTATATATCACATTGTGTGTTCACCAGCCAAAATCAGTTCTCCTTCTATCACTGTATATTTGACCCCGTTTACCCTCATTAACCATTGCCCTCCCTTCTGACCCTCTGGTAATCACTAAACTTTATCTTTGTCTATCAGTTTTTGTTTCTTTGTTGTTTGTCTTGCTCCTTTGTTGCTTTCAGCTTTATATCCCACATATGAGTGAAATCATATGGTTCTTGACTTTTTCTGTCTGACTTATTTTGCTTAGCATAATAATCTCAAGATCCATCCATGTTGTCGCACATGGCACTATGAAAAGATGAAATAGTAAACTTTTTTAATAAGTAGAAATAGTACACTCTAAAATAACAATAAAAAGTATTAAATACAGGGCCGGCCGAGTGGCGCATTGGTTGAGAACTGGCTTGGGATGCCAGAGGGCCCGGTTCATTGGGATGCCAGAGGGCCCGGTTCAGATCCCACATATGAGGGCCAGTGACACTGCCCTCCACAGCTAAGATGCTGAACAACAGCTCAACCTGGAGCTAGGCTGCTGTGAGTCTCCGGCGACAGCGTAGGCTGCCGCCCCTGTGGCAGTGAGTTGCCATGGGCTACCATATGTAGCCAGCGGCCAGCAGCCGCAGTGAGCAGCCGTCCAGAAGCCGGTGACTGATCTGCCTCGCCCGGGAAGAGCACAATGATGGTGCCAACTTGGACCAGTGAAGCAACGTTCTCCACAACTAGACTGAAGAACAAAACGATAGCAACTTGTCTGTTCCCCTTCCCCCAATTCCCCAGCACTGTTCCCATCCCCCCAAGTCCCCAATAAAAATCTTAAAAAAAAGTATTAAATACATACACCAGCAATAGAGTTGTTTATTATTATTATCTAGTATTATGTAGTGTACATAATTTTATGTGCTATACTTTTATATGACTGACAGCAAGCACAGTAGGTTTGTTTACATCAGCATCACCACAAATAGTGAGTAATGTGTTGCACTACAATGTGATGACACCTACGAGGTCACTAGGCAATAGGAATTTTTCAGCTCCATTATAATCTTATGGGATCACCATTGTATATGTGGTCAATCATTGACCTAAGTGGTGTTATGTGGTGCATGACTATATTTGCAATGTTGTGCAACCATCACCATTATATAATTCCAGAATATTTTTTATCACCCCCAAAAGAAACTCCATACCCATTAAAGAGCTGTTTCCTCATCTCCCCTCCCTCCAGCCTTAGACAACCACTAATCTACTTTCTGCCTCTATGGACTGCTTATTCTGGGCATTTCACATAAATGGAATCACACAATATGTGATTGTATATAACTTTTGTGTCTAACTTTCTTCACTAGTATTGTTTTCAAGGTTCATCCATGCTGTAGCATGTATCGGTACTTCATTCCTTTTTTTTTTTTTTTAAGATTTTTATTGGGGAATTGGGGGGATGGGAACAGCACTGGGGAATTGGGGGAAGGAGAACAGACAAGTTGCTGTCCTTTTGTTCTTCAGTCTAGTTGTGGAGGACGTCGCTTCACCGGCCCAAGTTGGCACCATCATTGCGCTCTTCCCGTGTGAGGCAGATCAGTTGCCGGCTTCTGGACGGCCGCTCACTGCGGCTGCTGGCCTCTCACGCTGGCTGCTGGCTACACACGGTAGCCCATGGCAACCCACTGCCACAGGGGCTGCAGCCTACGCCGTCGCCGGCGACTCGTGGCAGCCCAGCTCCAGGTGGAGCTGTTGTTCAGCATCTTAGCTGTGGAGGGCAGTGTCACTGGCCCTCATATGTGGGATCCGAACCGGGGTCCTCTGGCGTCCCAAGCCAGTTCTTAACCAATGCGCCACTCGGTCGGCCCTTCATTCCTTTTTATAGATTACTAATGTTCCATTGTATGGATATACTGCATTTTGTGTATCCTTTCATCACTTGAAGAATATTTGGGTTATTTCCACTATTTGTCTATTATGCACAATGCTTCTATGAACACTTTTGTACAAGTTTTTGTGTGCAAATACATTTTCAATTCCTAGAAGTAGAATTGCTGGGTAATATGGTAACTCTATATTTAACTTTTAGAGGAATTGACAAACTGTTTTACAAGTAGCTACACCATTTTACATCCCCACTAGGAATGTATGAGGTTCTAATTTCTGTACATCATCAATAACATTTGTTATTATATATTGCAAGCTCTCCTAGCAGCTGTGAAGTGGCATGTCATTGTGGGTTTTGATTTGTATTTCCCTAATAACTGATTTTGAGCATCTTTTCATGTGCTTTTTGCCCATTTGTATATCTTTTTTGGAGAAACATCCACTCAAGTTACTTGCTTATTTTTTGTTGCATTTTTGTCTTTTTATTGTTCAGACGTAAAGGTTATTTTATATAAATTTAACCAAGGAAATACAATACTGGTACAAAGAAAATGAAGAAAACTTTTTAAAAAGACATTAAAGAAGACCTAAATAAATAAAAAGACACTCATGTTCATGGACAGTAGACTTAACAGTGTCAATTAAGATGGCAATACTTCCCAAGTTGCTGCAGGTCCAATGTAATTCTTATAAAAATTTCAACTGTTCTTTTTGCATAAGTGGGCAAGCTAATCTTAAAACGTATATGGAATTGCAAAAGACCTTGAACAGCCAAAACAATACTGAAAAAGAGAAACAAACAAACAAAAACAGTTATACTTTCTAATTTCAAATCTTACTATAAAGCTATAGTAATCAAGACAGTGTGATATTGGCATTATAATAAACATACATCAATAGAATAGAACTGAAAGACCTATAATAGAACCATACATTTATGGTCAATTGATTTTTAAAAAGAGTGCCAAGATCATTCAATGGGAAAAATAACAGTTTTTGGGTTTTTTTTTTCAAAAACTCATGTTGGGATAACTAGATATCTACATGCAAAAGAAAACTTTCATTTTTACCTGACACCATATACAAAAATAAACTTAAAAGAAATCAAAGACCTTAATATGAGCACAAGAACTCCAAATTCTTAGAAGAAACCCTAACGATAAATATTTGTACCTTTGGATTAGGCTATAGTTTCTTGAATATGACACCAAAAGCACAAGCAACAACAAAAAAATAGATAAATTAGACTTAAATTTGAAAATATAACCCAAAGAATGCACAATAATATTTACAAATCACATATCTAATAAGAGTCTGGTAGTTTTTAAAGAGCTTTAAACTTTAGAAACTTTCAGGGCTTTGAATATAATAACATAGACTCACTCCCTTCTCTTTGCCATAGAAAAGCAGAGGAAAAACAGTGTAGGCTTAAGAATTATAAATTGAATCAGAACATAAATCTGAACTTAAATTATTTCTATTCAGGACTACATGGATAGTCATTATGCCATCAAATACCTTAATGAGTTTTTACCTATATTTCTCTGGTAGTATATTATATCCAATATGGAACTCTATATATTTTAGCGATTTCTTTGTAGGTCATTTTAAAAATCTGACAGGATATCAATACTACTATTTTCTTAAAAGGCGTTGAATATCTGAGTGAGTATATGCAGGGGTGAGCAGAGAGGAAGTCCCAAGAAGAAGCAACTGATTTTTTTTAAAAAGCTCCTTTCACTTATCTCAGATAAGCAAACAATTACCAGTTCCCCTCAGTTTGTTCTGGGACCATCTTTGCCACTATCACAATTTAGCTGTCAAGTAACTCATTTAGTTTAAAACATTAGCCCTCTAACTTGTCTTCCTGACTCCAACATCTAAAAATGCATTCTCAATACAGTTAATAGAACAATATTTCTAAAACAAACATCCGATCACATAGTCTTAGATTAAAAAAACTCTCATATGAACCACTTACCTCAGAATCACCTATAGTCCATGTTTCTATACTACCCTCCAGGTAAATTGAATATATATTTTAGGGATGAGAATATGGACTTTGATTTAAATAAGCTAATCAGGTAGGTGAATCTTATTCACTCCAAATTTTCAGGTCTGTAGCTTTATCAGATAAAGTCTTAGTACATGTTAGGACATACAAGCTTTTTATGATTTGAAGCCTACTTTTTTTTTTCTTGTCTTGTTAAATACTGTCTCAACAGAGGAAACCTTCCTCCCTAAGGGCAGCTAACATTTATTGAGAGTTCTGTCTGGGCCAGATGCAGATCTAGAATCACTTTACATATACTGTCTTATTTCATTCTCAAAATAACCTTATAAATAAGAATTATTATTATTCTAATCTATTTTGCAACTGGAGAAACCTACCAACAAAGAATTTGGGAAACCTGATCAGGCTCATATGTTTATGTCTGGATTTAAACCCTGGCTGACTGGCTCAAAAGTCTACATTTTTGAATTATTAGGCTTGTAATATTAGCTAGTGATACCTGAAGCACTTCCTACACCCCCAGGGGTAGTTCATGTTGCTATACTTATGCTTATAAAATTCTCTTATGATTAATATATAATGAAAATAGTTTTTTAAGGAGGTCAGTACTATGTCTTACAGAGTAAATGAAATTTAATATTTGTGTTGATAATTTGAAGAAAGGACACTTACTATAGCACAGACAGGAATGCTAACCATAAGGAGAAGAAGGAGGGAAAGGTGCATTGTGCTAAAAAAAGTTTGGGTTAAAGTTTTATGAGAAGGCTAATCCAAGAGCAGATTAAGTAAAAATGCATAAAAATTTTTATTTACTTTTTTCTCCAAGATTTTAATATAAAAATTTTTCCTCACTTTTTGAAGAAAAAGAAAATCTTTTGGAGTGTATCCTTGAAGGCTTGTTTCACTTGCTGGTTCCTTAGAGTGTAAATGAAAGGGTTTAGTAAAGGGGCCACCGAGGTATAGATAACAGCTATACCTTTGGATAAAGTCACCCTTTCCTTTGCTGATGGCTTCATGTAAATAAAGATACAACTACCGTAAGAAAGGGAAATGACAATCATATGAGAAGAACAAGTGGAAAAAGCCTTCGTTCTTTTCTGAGCGGAGGGGATCTTTAGAATGGTCTTGATAATATATGCGTAGGAAAGAATCACTAACAGCAATGTGACCACGAGGGTTACAACAGCTGAGACAAATGAAACTGATTCTAGGAAATGAGTGTCTGTGCAAGAAATCTGCAGCACAGGGGAAGTGTCACATATGAAATGATCAATGACTTTGGAAGCACAGAATTCCAGTTTTAGTCCCAAGACCAGTGGTGGAAAGGTAATCAGAAAGCCAGCTGTCCATGAACTGAGTACAAGTTGGTAGCACACTTTGTTGCTCATAATGATGGGGTAATGTAGAGGTTTGCAGATGGCTACATAGCGGTCATAGGACATGGCAGCCAGAAGGTAAAATTCTGTAACTCCCAGTAAGAGGAAAAAGAATAACTGAGATACACAGCCGTTGTAGGAAATAATTTTGTTTTTCGTCATGATGGTTATCAGGAATCTGGGAATACAGATTGTTGTCAACAAAACCTCCAAGAAGGAGAAATTTCGGAGAAAAAAATACATAGGAGTCTTGAGGCGGGGATCCAGCAAGGTGAGGAGGATAATGGATAAGTTACCAATCACACTAAACATATAGTTTAGAAAGAGAAATATAAAAATCACAATTTGCAGTTGTGGGTCATCAGTCAGTCCCAGAAGAATGAACTCTATCTCTCTTGACTGGTTCTTCATTTCAGATTTGAGTCCTATTAAGTAGATATAGGAAAACAAATCCAATAGGGGAAATAACAGGAATTTAAAAAATCTACGGACATAGAAAAAAACATATTCAGAAATGTAAACAAGTTTGAAAGGTTGATTCAATTTGGTAAGACAGACAGTACCTAAAATTACATTACAGATCAACCTAAGCAGTCTCTAATTGTTCCATTTAAGCCACAGTTATCTTTATACTGTTAAATTCTTTTTCCCCATTTGAACTTCAAAGATAATTTAAATTTGAGCTGATTATTTCCAGATTAGCTGAATTCTGTTTCAATGTTTTACATGGAGAAAACGTATTACTTGAAGTGTATTTTCTATGTATATTTCATAAATTATTGAAAAAGTATAACATCTAGATAATTATACCAGTGTCAATTTGCAATGTTTATTCAAAAATCCTTAGCTCATCAAAATGCTTTTTAAATATATGGAAGATATAGGAATAATCAGTTATGTATTTTCTGTATGACTGAAATACTTTAATATATACCATTTGTTATTTTGTCCCAATGTAGTACATCTCCATTGTTTCTTTATATCATTTCACTTAATTATTAATTTTCTTTAGTTTTAAATACATCAGTCTTCTCATAATCAGTTGCATTTTATCAGGAAGTATTATCCAACCTACATAAAAACATAAATAACAATTCAAAAGTCAGTGGATATTACCTGACTTGTACTTGCAGAATTTCTTTCATTTATGATCTAGATATTTATTCCAAATTATAAGTGACTTACCATGGTAGGATATATTAATATAATTTCCCCTCTATAGGAATATGGTAGAAGCAAGAGTCAAAAATAAATGATGAATAGCTTCCTCTATAATATTATTAAATATTCAAGAGGAAATTTAATTTCAATGCTTTTCTGGAGAAGGATTCAAAAACAGATAGGCAATCTGGAAATTATATACATCTGCCAGTATCTTCCACTTTCATTCATACTCATTAAAATCATAGGACCTAAACATTACAGATAATTCAATTAGAATTCTCTTTTATGGAAGATAAGATTCACTTTCTGTATTTTCTTATATATTTAAATAAAAATGATCTCCATAAAGTTTTAAATGAAAATATGATGCTCTAAATGAGAAGATGTTTGGGGAAATATCTCAATATGAAGAGAACCTAAATTTTGTAATAAAGAATTACTGCTTCCAATTGAACACCAACAAAAGCCACAGTTTTATCATTTATCTCATAAGATACACAAGGGAATTAATTGAAGTAAAAAGAGGAAAGAAAAAGAAATGCCCTCTGGAGACTGGTGACAGTACATACCAATTATGAAAAAAAAAAAGAGAGATAAGAAAACAAAGAAAGAAGGAAATAAAAATCACTGTGAATTACTTTAACTATAAAACCAAAGGACATTCTCCCAAAAGAGAACCAGAAATAATTTAAACTCTATACTTAACTCCAACAAGTTTCATATTCCACTGGGACAATATGGCCAATTCTACTTGTAAGAGAGTTTACCCTAAAAAGAAACCTTTCTCATTTTCATTAGTCAATATGTCAATTAGTTAATTGACTAGTCAATCAATTAACTTGATTGTGACCCACCCCCAAAATTGGGATGAGGGAGGCAGAATTTAAATGTTTCCCTGTTTCTTCATTATTTTAAAACAGTATAAAAAATAAGGAAAAAGAATAAGAAGTACACAATGAGGATCTTTTATCCTTGAAGCATTTGATGCTTCATCTGCTACTCAATACAGTAGCATATATATGACAAAAAAGAATATTTTACTAGATAAGCCAATACAACCATAATTATCAGAACATTAACATTGATACACTATTAACATGTAATTCTCCAATCTTATTCAAATTTCACCAATTGTCTAAAAATTTTCCTTTATAGAAAAAAGAATACAGTTTAAAATGACATGTTTCATTTAATTATTGTATTTTAGTGTGCTTTAATTTGGATTACCTCCCTAGTCATTCCTTAACCTTCAATAACATTATTGAAAATTATGTTCCAGAAATTTTATATTATGTCTCTCAGTGTTGGTCTGAATTTCTCCATTATTATATTCAATTTATTAAACTTTGGCAGGAATATCACAGAAATGATGATGTCTCATGAAATCCTATCAAAGATCATACTATTTCATTTTTTCCCATTATTGATGATGTTTTATTTCTTAATTAGTGTGGGTATTTACAGGATTGTCTACCATAAAGCTACTCTTTAACTTTTGTAATTAATAAGTACTTTGTATAGATACTTTAAATACTATGTAAATATCTCAATCTTTATAAAACTTCCAATTTATAGATTACTTTATATCATTACAGACTCATGGTTTCCATCTTTATTCATTATTATTATTTATTTTGATGCTAAATTGCCCCAGATTTGGCCAGTGTAAGTCCCTTCAAAATTGTTCCCTTGTCTTTTTGGTAAGCCCCACTGATTTTTGAGGGCTTCATTATTTCCTGGCACCACAAAGTGCTCCATTCTCATCTTGTACTTTTTCTGGACCAACCTTGTTATCAGCCATTTCTTCAAGAAGTCCTGGTTTTTATAGCGAAAAGTTATTGCAAAACCAAGATCTAGGTGCTTGGGTGCTACATGCACTCACTGTTACTAGTAATCACACTCCGAGGCCCTCACAGTGGACGGACTTAAACACATACACACACACACACACTTATACATACATGTATGCACATTTACATATATATATATATAAAATATATACAGAGGGGTGTAGATAGATTTAGATATATACATATGTACATACATGCATATACATATATAGAAGTTTATACCTATATTAGTTTCTATAATCTCTCTATATAATAACGAGTTCACACCAATACATCAATCCAGCACCACGGAGTTTATTCCCCTGTATTCATTTGATGTGTAATTGAAAAACAAATGTGGTTTAAGAGGATAACACCTCCCCCAGAAATGTATAAAGTTTGATTTTGTCAGGTACCTGAGGCCCTTAGTCATCCAGGATAATCTCAATCCAAATGCATGTACTGAGATGATTTGAGTTCAACTGTATATACTTGTGAGGGTCTGCCTACTAAAGTTTCTCAACTCAAATTAGAGGTATTCACCAAGTCTCCTCTGATGCAGTCTTCCCTGTGTCCCTGAACCTGGAATCAGTAAAAAAACACTGAGCTTTCCTGTTTCTCAGTCATCATTTCTTTTTTTTTAATCTTTATTAAATTTATTGGGGTAACATTGATTAGTAAAATTATATAGGTTTCAAGTGTACATTTGTGTGTTCACCACCCAGTCAATTCTCCTTCCATTATCATATATTTGACCCCTTTTACCCTCCTCTACCACTTCCCTTCCCCCCCCTCTAAACTATTGTCTGTGTGTATGAGTTTGTTTGTTTGTCTTGTTCGTTTGTTGCTTTCAGTTTTATATCCTACATATAAGTGAAATCATACGGTTCTTGGCTTTTTCTGTCTGATTTATTTCGTTTAGCATGACACTTATCACTTCTGAATCAGTATTTCCCTTGGGGAAAATGAGGCCCAAAGGCGATTCTTCTTTTCTGGCTCTCTATTCCATGTATACTGCACTGATCATTCTTCCCCATCTTATCTTGTCAATTAATGTCAAGCACATGTTTTTCATATTTCCAATTCCTTCCAGCTGTTTTCCATGTAAGGGTTGAAAAATATGTATTCAAAGTTCTCTGGAATTACTTTCCTAGTAAGTGATGTTAAACATTTTCCTAACTAGAAAAGAAGTTGAGATTCATGTTCAGATGTCTCATGCCTTGTAAAATTCAGCCAGTTTTATGTAGGTTGTTTATCTACTCCTTATGGTTTCACAGGGGTGTTTTTATGTATTGCAAATACTAATCATTTCTGGCTGCATTGTTGACTCTTGATTTCTGGCTTATCATTACTTTCTGAGGTGTTTTGAGAAACTTTCCTAATTACATCTGTGCCTAAAATACCTTTAAGCTCTGGTTCATAAACAATGATTTTGCCACATATACACGTCTAATTTTTAGTTAATATTTTCTCCATATTTTAAAGATATCATTAAATTATCTTTGTATCACAAAGTTGCTGTTGAATTGTTATTCACCACCTGTAGCTAGTCTATCTTTACTTTCTGATGGCCCTTAAGATCATCCCTTTATCCTTGCAGTTTCAGCAGTTTCTTACTTATGGATTCCTATTCATGATCTCGCTACTGATGGATTTCTTGTCATTTAACTTGCTTAATATTTATCTGGTTTCTTAAAAATGCAAATTGGTGCCATTTATCAATTATGGAAAATTAGCAGCAATTATCTCTTAAGTTTCTTTTTCCCTGTTCTACGTTTGTTCTCCTGGATAACCAATCGGACGTATGTTAGAACATCTCATTATACATACAGTGTCTTGTGAGCTCTTTCATATTTTCATTACCTTGCCATTCTACACTGTATTCTAAATAGTTTATTGAGAATTATTTTTCTGTTGATGCATTTGATGCAAATATATCAATTAGCTGTTTAACTTATATATAAAACTCTATTTTAGTGATTTTTATTTTCATTTCAGTAAGTCCATTTTTTTAAACCTTTTTTTTTCAACAGTCTCTTATCCCCATTAAATTGTCTTACTCTCTTTTATTTCTTTAAGCTCTTACACATTATTTAAAAGACTTTCTGTGATTCTTCAAACATCTATAATTTTTATGAGTGGTCAGCAGTTTATTGTTTCTGCTGGTTACCACTTGGTGACCTGACATGCATATATTATGAGATATTTTATTATGATGTGAAGTCACATTCTTTAGAATGACACCTGTGTATACATATGTACTACTAAGAGGATCTACTAAGAGGATCGGCATTTGCAGCTGCTGGATGGTGTATGCTAATCACTGGGACCGAATCACTGTTATGCAAATTTTGAGTTGGTGGTATTGAAATTTAGGAGGAGTGTGCAGTCTACTTCCAAATATATCTAAATATAGGGATGAGAATAGAAATTCTAAGGGAAGCCTTTTTCCCCCCACCTATATCCAAGGTCAAGGGAAGACAACGTCCACATTTCTCTCTCTTTTGTGAAAATTTTCTATTCCTTACACAGATAAAAATTACAATAACTAAATTGTTATCAAATGTATTTTTTTAAATAAAATACAAAAGAACTTAAGCTTTGTTCTTTTAACCCCCTGATAAATAAGAAATACTGCATCCAAGTTCAAAATACCTAATATTCTCAAAAGTACAAGAAATATTTACAAAACTGACTGAGTTTAGCATAAAGGAAGTTTCAAAAAATTCCACAGGATTAAATTCTTGGAAGTATGCTTTGTAATTATTGTGGAATTAAGAATCAATAACAAAGAAGTAACTAGAAAGTCACCAAATATTTGAAAATTAAGCAATATACTTCTAAATAGCCAATTGCTTAAAAAAGGAATCAGAAAGAAATTAGAGAAATTTTTTAACTATGTGATAATAAAATATGGCCTATCAAAATTATGAGATGTCTAGTAAAGACCTGTTTACAGAAAACTTATATAATTAAATGCACATTACAAAAGACTAATTTAAAAATCAATTACCTGGGCCAGCCGAGTGGCGCGATGGTTAAGAACTGGTTTGGGAAGCCAGAGGGCCCTGGTTCAGATCCCACATATGAGGGCCAGTGACACTGCCCTCCACAGCTAAGATGCTGAACAACAGCTCAACCTGGAGCTGGGCTGCCGTGAGTCGCGGGCCACGGCGTAGGCTGCAGCCCCTGTGGCAGTGGGTTGCCATGGGCTACCGTATGTAGCCAGCAGCCAATGTGAGCGGCCAGCAGCCGCAGTGAATGGCTGTCCAGAGGCCGGTGACTGATCTGCCTCGCTGGGGAAGAGCGCAATGATGGTGCCAAGTTGGGCCAGTGAAGCAACGTCCTCCACAACTAGACTGAAGAACTAAAGGACAGCAACTTGTCTGTTCCCCTTCCCCCAATTCCCCAGCGCTGTTCCAATAACTCCTCAATAAAAATCTTAAAAAAAAAAAAAGAAATCAATTACCTAAGTCACTGCTGTCTAATATGGTAGCCATTAGCCACCTGTAGCTATTAAGCACTTGAAATGTGACTAGTGTGACTGAGGAACTGAAAATTTAATTTAATATTCATTATTTCAAATTTAAATGTATGTATTGAGATGTGGCCAATGGTTATCATATTGGAATGTATAGAACTATGTAATCTTCTCAATTGCCTAATAAAAAAGAGATTTTACATCCAAATACATTTGATAGGTTATTGAGATAGAATTTAACTACAAAAAAGTTCACCTTTTAGAGTTATATAGTTTGATGAACTTTGACATATATAGTTTGTAATCACCACTACAATCAAGATTTAAAATGTTTTATTCACCCTAAAATGTTGCTTCATGATACTTCTGTAGTCAACCACTTCTCTTCATCCTCAGCCCTTAACCACTGATCAGGTTTTTAGTTTAGTGTTTTCAAGAATTATAGAAATGGAATCAGAGTATGTGGATGTTGTATCTGGCTTCTTTCACTCAGGATAAGATTTCTAAGATTCAGTTGTGTTTTTAATATATTATTAGTTTATTTCATTGTATGCATATACCACGATTTGTTAAACCACTCACCAGCTCATAAATATTGGATTGTCTCCGGGTTTGGGTATTAACATAAAAATGTATTTTAATAGATAAAATTCAGTTTACTGAGGGAGTAAAAACAATCATCACATATCCACCTCAAACCTCATCTTATTAATCCAAAAATAAATTATGCTTAATTTTTATATATAAATCAAATATATACACCAGTAGATGCCAGAGTATAAAACAGTTTACAGGACTGGCCGAGTGGTGCGTTGGTTAAGAGCTGGCTTGGGACGCCAGCTCTGAGTAACAGGGCGGTTCGGATCCCACATGGGGCCAGAGTGACACTGCCCTCTACAGCTAAGATGGTGAACAACAGCTCAACCTGGAGCTAGGCTGCCATGAGTCACAGGCGTCGTCGGACGCTGCAGCCCCTGCTGCAGTGGGCTGCCATAAGCTACTGTGTGTGGCTGGCAGCCAGCGTGAGCAGCTGGCAGCCCATGTGAGCTGCCAAGAGCCACCGTGAGCGGCCGTCCAGAGGCCAGCGACCTATCTGCCTCACCCAGGAAAAGTGCAATGATAACACCAACATGGGCGAGTGAAGCGATGTCCTCCACAACTAGACTGAAGAACAAAACGACAGCAACTTGTCTGTTCCCCTCCCCCAATTCCCCAATTAAAAAAACAAAACAAAACAAAAACCCCCCCAAAACACCCCCAAAAAAACAGTTTACAATAAAGTCTAAAATTGCTTCTGTAACTAGTTGAAAGCAACTGCTCGCGATTCTGTTACACATTTCATTGATTTTTCTAAATCACTTATGATGCTCCTCTGGGATACTTTCACTTCAGCTTGTATTTAAAGTAGATTACAATGGGTACTTTATTGCCAATAATTAGTATTTCTGGAACTCTGATCCCCAGAGTTTTTCTTCCTTTTTTTTAAATTTCAGTAGATCCCTTGAGTCTGTATAAGTAGAAAATGATAAACCTGCAGCATTTTATAAGAGTACAGTCGGCAATGTGGAGTCTCTTTCTTGGAACTCTTGCATATCTTTTATAAGATGATGTCCTGAGTATTTTTTTGGTTGATGCTTTAAAAAAATTTTTATTTTGTTTTAAAGAATATCTATTTTGAGATTTTGATGATCATATTATAAAAACAAAATTTTACAAAAATGCAACTTAAGTGGAATGAAAGATGGATGGCCATTAAATTATTGATACCTGAGTTCTGAACATCATAGTAAGTATGGAATTGAAGGAATACGGAATTTATTTACAGAAACACAGTACTCGTATGTACACATCGCCTTTCTCACAAAAGTAATTCTTTATAAATTGCCCTATTAGATAATATAATATGATCATAAAAGAGATAAAATCATAATTAATTATGTTAACTTCCATCTTTTCCATGCACACAGAGGGGAATAATAAATATAATAGATCCAAGAAGTTAAGTAAACTATAATTTTCACTTAACTTCAGAATCAGAAATTAAGTCAAATACATAATAAGTCCAATTCAGGGAATTAAATTTGACTACTGAATTTTTAGTTTTACAAATTTGTTTAGTGGTAGAGTCATTAGATGGTTGTGTATTAACAGGTATTGTAATCTATTTAATTCATATACAGTTACATCTGTTTCATTTTCTCTAATTTTCTTTGTGAATTAAGTGTTGTCCTGCCTAAAGTGATGTGGAAAAAATACCGAGCAACTCTTCTTTATAATTTGAAATAACATAGTTCCAGAACAGTCTATTAGATCCACATGGTAATAGAAATTGTATGACTAACTCCTAGCACATACCTTTTCATATCAGAGGTGGAGCAAAGATGGGAGTCACAGCAAGGACAGAAACATACATTTTTACAAGAAAAGCTTGTGACCATATAGTAGCTGAAAACTGCAAGTCTTCAGTTGCTATTAAAAACATTACAGTTATTCACTAACATCTTTGGAAAATCACATTAAGCATAAAAAAATCTTAGTGGTTTTCTTAATTGTTTTTTGTTTGTTTGTTTTTATGGGCTTTTCTTTAGGGGGAGAATCCACTCCAGGGCATCCTGCTCTTCACAAAGAAAAGAGAACTCTCTTCGGTCTTCCAGCCAGCTTCCCTGAGATTGGTTATATTACCACACTGCATTTTTTTCCAAATAAGAAAATAGTAGTAAATAAACAGACTAACAATATTGATAAGACAAATGCAAAAGAATAAAGATAATAAAGAGTGTTTAGTAATCTATTTCTCTTAAAAGTCCACAGGTAATGCATACAATAACATAGACTGACATGTTTAACATAACGGGGATAGTACAACATGGAAGTAAATACTATTCTTATTATGTAGAAAGGATAGGGGGTGATAAAATTCATGATGTATTCAAGAGTTTTATAAGGGATATAAAGGAAGTAAAAAAAATAGTGCCCCAAATGATGTAGACACATATAGGAATGTATTTCAAAAAGATTAATCAAAGAAAAGACAATTTTTAAAATTAAAATGTTATTTTTTTTTGTTTTTGTCATGTTTTGCTTTGTTTTATTTGTCATGTGTACTGAAGAACAACTGTCCATTTGAGTATAGCAAAGCCAGTCAAGAAAATTAATAATGATAATCATGTACTCTCAGTACAGAGAAAATTTCAAAACTATTATAATTAGGGCCTGCATCTACTTACTAGAAATCAGACTACCTTAGTGATTGACCAACACTGAAACTGTAATATTACCCTAAATCCTGGTTTTGAAAAGTCACCCTGATACTCATTCTATAAAGACAAACCAGCTTAGTGCATTTGCATAGATTGAATAAAAATAATAGAAAATGCATTAAAATAATGCATATGCTTTTTTAAAAGTATAGATGCACAGTTGATTCAGGAGGGATGGGCAAAAATGCATATTAACCAAAAAAAATTTCCAAGTTCCAGAAAAAAAATTGTGAATACTGTAATAAAGAGAACTAATAGATGAGAAAGAATTTAGAAGTGACTGTAGCATGCAATTATGTGTCATTGGCAATTTCAGACTGTCAAAAACATTTGGAAATGGATTAATTAAAGAATGTATGCTTTTTTCTGCTTTAGGTTAAATACACACACACACATTTACTTAACATATATTTAGTTAATATATATTTATTTAGTTCACATATTCAGGTTAATTTATATATTTAGGTCAATTTACATACATTTGGCTCATTTATATATATTTAGATTAATATATATAGGTTATATTATATTCACATATATCCTTTCACTTTTTCTCTTTTCCTATGTAGATTTGATAAGGCTCACAAAAGAGAAATGAAGAACCAATCAATGGAAATAGAGTTCATTCTCCTAGGATTGACAAATGACCCACAATTGCAAATTGTGATTTTCCTGTTTTTATTTTTTAATTACACATTGAGCCTGATGGGGAACTTAGTCATTATTCTCCTCACCCTGCTGGATCCTCGCCTCAAGACACCAATGTACTTCTTTCTCCGTAATTTCTCATTTCTGGAAATCCTATTCACAACAGTATGTATTCCCAGGTTCCTGATAACCATTGTGACTAGAAAAAAAAACATTTCATATAATAATTGTGCAGCTCAATTATTTTTTATTCTTTTACTGGGAGTTACAGAATTTTACCTTCTGGCTGCCATGTCCTATGACCGCTATGTTGCCATCTGCAAACCGCTGCATTACCAGATCATTATGAACAGCAAAGTCTGCTATCAGCTTGTACTCAGCTCTTGGTTAACTGGATTCTTAATCATCTTTCCCCCTTTGGTCATGGGACTCAAGCTGGAGTTCTGTGCTTCCAGGGTAATTGATCACTTTATGTGTGAAACTTCTCCTATCCTGCAGATCTCTTGCACAGATACACATGTCCTAGAATTAATGTCTTTTATCTTGGCTGTGGTGACACTTGTGGTCACATTGGTGTTAGTGATTCTTTCTTACACTCACATCATTAAGACCATTCTGAAATTCCCTTCTGCACAGCAAAGGACCAAAGCTTTTTCAACGTGTACTTCCCACATGATTGTTGTCTCCATGACTTACGGTAGCTGTATCTTTATGTATATTAAACCCTCGGCAAAAGAAAGAGTGACTATATCCAAAGGTGTAGCTTTGCTGTATACCTCAGTTGCCCCTTTACTAAATCCCTTCATTTACACCCTAAGGAACCAGCAGGTGAAAGAAGTCTTCTGGGATATGTTACAAAAGATGTTGTGTTTCTCAAAAAAACAATTGTGAAAAAAAATTCTAAAACTCACAACCTTACCATAAAACTGAAGTAACGTGTTTCATGCATTTCTTCTGATCATATTTTTCTACCTCATATATAGTTACCTTATATAAGAACCTTGTAGCTCAGTTACACTGCTTGCTTTTTTTTTGTTTTAAAATGCACAGATTCCTACACACACAAATGGTGTTTTCTTCAAGCTATTATTACCTAACACATTTTTGTCATTTTTGAAAGAATATTCCATTTAAAGCAAGTACATCTGACACTAGAAAACATAAAATAGCATCTGGGAAAATATTTTATAAATTTTAAAGCATGCACACATTTACAGTGTTGTAACATCAACATTTAATACGATTTCACTGACTCAGTTTTATTTTTCCTACTTCCCTATAATTTCTATTATCTAACCAAACCATAGCTGTAACTGTCTCAGAAACATACTGTTTGGTAATCTCTTAACCAAGGTCCAGTCCTATCATGGCAGTCCAGAGGTATGTCAATAGATCTTTGAAGGCAATAATTTACTATTGTAGAATCTAAGGCTGATTTCTCTCTGTAGGTATTATTCCATTACAATGAAATGCCACACTGCCTCTGGCCAGGTCCTCACATCTTCACAGCAAAGGTCTCCATTCACTTCTGGGTTCTAGTCCAGGCCCCTGACATTTACCCACAACACTGCATTTCATCATACAGACCTGGCATGATCTTCCTCCAGCTTAAAATTCTTCATTGAATATTCTCACAGCTTTCAAAATGAAGCTCAATTCTCCAATACGAGGCCCTCCACCAGGCTCTCAGGTGTTCCTACAATATTGTGTTCGTGTCACCTGTTACACAGCACAAATATTTACTTGCCTCTACTATAAGTAAACTGTAAGCTACTTGAAACCATAGATAACATCGTTGAAAATATTTAACAAATGCACATATAGTCCTCACTATGTATTTTCTAAGTGCTTACATATATTATTTTATTTAATACTCATAAGAAACCCTATGAGAAAAGCACTATTATCCGATTTTACAGATGAGAGAAGTGAAGTACAATTGACTTCATATTCCAAGCTCCTAATATGTTACTTGGGAGATAGAAGGGGGTTAGGTAAATGAGCTATTTAAGTTCTCTGCTATATCCAAGAGAGCAAAGCATTCTTTATATGGATGTCTACACTTTCATGTGGATACCATCTCCTTATATCCTGTTTTTCCATCTGATTAGGAATAAAGGTAACTTCCATTAGCATGTGTGCTCCAATTCAGGACAAAATAGGTTCTGCCCATCCTTGAGGTTCAATGCCAAATTGCATTTTAAAATTCCTCCATCAAAAATCCACTTAGTATATTATGATCCCAATCCTGTTTCCTGGGAGACTACATTTATGTATTTGGTTTTCTTCCAGAGACAATCTTTTGAAATTGTAAAACTAATTTGCACATTAACATATCTCATTTTGAAACAAACACAACTGTACAGTATTCTCCACTATATCTGACTGTTAGAAGAATCCTGCTTATTTGTACTAATGACAGCAATCCAGGGTGTATTGCTTAATTTTTTAGATTAATGAGTAAATGATCAAATGTGATTTTTTAGGTCATGAAATTAGCAAACATCTTATTCATTTATTTTGACAAGTGTTTTTAGTTTATAAGACTTAGCTACAGAAAGAGCAATCTATTTTATGGAAGAAACCTTTCTGCTTTTAAGAAAACTCAGTAGCTCTCAGATAATAAACCTCTACAGAGAATAATGAAAAAGCCAGCACCTTCTGACGACAGAAAAAAAATTGATAGGCTGATAGAAAAAAACAATGAGATATTACAATTCATTAACATTTTCATAGAGAATGTACTTTAGCTGTATGCAATATCTGTAGTGGTAGCAAACCACACAGAACAGTCTACTAAAATAGGTCAGTGCTGACCTGAGGCTGGTGTCTCTAGCCTGTCACACTGGTAGGCCAAAACACAAATTTCAGCAGCTCCGTGTGTCCCTGAAGTGGTCTATATTCCAGGCCTGAGGTCCCCCAAGCCCAGGAAAGCAGTGAGTGGATCACAAATATGAGAAAGGTTACAACTCCCTGAAAATGAGCTGGTGATTAATTGGTAGTACATTTCATCAGACTGGTTCTGGCACAGACTCTAGCATGGAGACATTTAGCAAAATGGCCCAAGAACAAGCTGATTGACCTCATGACAGGTCCAGTGATGCTCTACTTTTGCCGGCATTTCATGACAGCCAAGCAACTGGTGGGGACCGTGGAAAGGTCAGTATGCAGCCTGACTGAGGGATGAGAAAGCACTTCTCTTAAACATTCCATTTAGACTCAGATCTTCCTTGCTGTGGGTGAAAAGGCTTCAAGGACAATATTCTTTAAAAAATTAACAGGACAATTGCAGGTGGGGTTAGCTCCTGAATTCCTTCTGTCTGAATGGTAGAGCTAACATTTTCCTTTAGCTTCTAATTGCTCTATATCTTCTTAACTAGTGATGATATGGCTAACTCTGCTGGGATGGGCGTTGATTTGGGAGCACCTAAATGTCAAGCTTTGTAACTATCATTGTGGGTGTATTAAACTTACATAGAATGATGCCTTGCTAATTGGGGCCTGAAGACAAGAAGCTCGGGGTCCTTGCTCCCTACTCACTGTCACAAGAGGTGTGTTACCTCTTCTAGGAATGGATGCATTTTAGGTATTGTCTCTAACTGTAGAAAGATGGTCTTTGCAAGTCAGTCAGTTGTAAATTTGTAACTTTGGTGTAAAAAGCCTTCCTAAAAACACCTAAAATATATTTTCTAGGCACAAAAACTATGAATTATTTCTAAATCAAAAATTTAAATACAGGGCCGGCCGAGTGGCACATTGGTTAAGAGCTGGCTTGGCACGCCCGAGGGCCCCGGTTCGGATCCCACATATGAGGGCCAGTGACACTGCCCTCCACAGCTAAGATGCTGAACAACAGCTCAACCTGGAGCTGGGCTGCAGGGAGGCGATGGCGTAGGCTGCAGCCCCTGTGGCAGTGGGTTGCCATGGGCTACCGTGTGTAGCCAACAGCTGCTGTGATTGGCTGTCCAGAAGCTGGCGACTGATATGCTTCGCCTGGGAAGAGCGCAATGATGGTGCCAACTTGGGCCAGTGAAGCAACGTCCTCCACAATTAGACTGAAGAACAAAATGATAGCAACTTGTCTGTTCCCCTTCCCCCAATTCCCCAATAAGAATCTTAAAAAAAAATTGAAATACACAATGTGATATATTACAGAAATGTATACTTGAAACCTATATAATTTTGCTAACCAATGTCATCCCAATAAATTTAACAAAAATTAAAAGAGGAATCAATGGAATTGTAATAGATAAGCATGATATCGGGGGTGGGAGGGTAGTAAATGGGGGGAGGGGGGTTGTTTCTGTGTGAAGGGTGAAAAGGATAACTATTGCATTGTTCTGTACACCTGAAACTCACAATAAAATAAATAATTAAAAGAAATATCTACAAGGCCATACTTGCATCAATAAATGAGTAAATAAATTTTTAAAAATTAAAATACATTGAACATACTTATATAAAACAATGGAGCGTAAGTTTCGAAATTAGAACTCAACTAAAAGATCCAGGTTGCCAGACCATCAGAAATACTGTGTTTCGAAAGCCAGTCTTCACACTAATATTCCCAAACATAAGGGGAGCTTTTGCACTTTGCTACTTTAGGCTTTTATGTTTTCAAAGCCAAAAATTAGTGTGGGGGCAAGAAGATGTAGAGATCACAAACTCTCACAGTTCCCTCTACCAAATGGTGTATGTAGTGTGTGTTTGCATGTTGGAGGGACGGTGGGTAAGGGAGGGAGTGAAAACGAACAAAACTTCAAAAAGATGTCATGGAGATTTCTGAAAACACACAATAGTAAAGAAGACATACAAACTTGCCTAACATCCCAGAATGCTACTATAATAATGTAGTTGCTTTTTTTCAGTCTCCTTTTCTATGTATTTATATGTATATCTGAACATTACTTGATCCATGCTACATAACACACATTTTTTATGATATTATACTTAGGATTTTCTTATCTCTAATTTGAATCTGTAAAAAAATGATGGAAGTTCATGACTGAATGATCTAATATATTTTGCCATATCATAAATAATCTAGCCATTCTCTCATTCTGGACACATGAAAAGTACAGGTTATCTTTGCATAGTAGTATCATTTTTTTCAATCATTTGTTAATTTTGCAGACAAAATTATATTTTCCTTGTTTAAAAGTCAATTATTTGATTGCTAGTGATACCGAAATATCATTAGTAATATGTAATATATAGTGTCTGTAATAGATACTGATCATTTTATAAGCCATTTTCATTCCTTCAATGGGTTGTCTGCTCATACCCTTTGCCCTTCTTTTCCATATTGTTTTAGCATTTCTCATCAACATGTATAAGCTATTTTTATTATAAGTATTTTAAGTTTGTCCTTTTTATCTTTACAAATTTATTTTTTGCCAGTTTACCTTTCAATTTTGTTTATGATGTAAAATTTTTCATTATGTGGTATTCCATTCACATAAAATCCTCTATTAAATCTTCAAAGTTCCCTTGTAAGTAGGTACTCACCTGGAAACAGTAATATATCATGATGAGTGAGTGGCAAAACAAAGCTAGTTTTATCTAACTTACTACTTTCATAGTCCCTTAAGAAAAAGCAGGTGGAAGATGTTTTGATTGATGGGCCTTTGGTTTTTAAATCGTATGTTTATAACTTAAACAAATACATATATATAAAAGTTATTATAATAAAAAAATCACAAATAAAATTCTAATATTTCAATTATTTTGTAATCAATTATTTTGTAATCCATTATTTTCTGAAAATCTTTATGCTGAAATTCCATATATTCAATTCACTATTAAAATGAAAAAAATATATTTACAAAATTTGTGTTAAAAAATCCTTACATTTTATTCTCCTTATGAAAATATTTCACCTTGCTATAGTA